AACACCCTAAAGCCTCAAGCCCTCAACCCAAAACAAAACCTGAGCCCTAAACCGAAAAAGACCCTAAACCCAAAAACCCTAGAACCCCCTAAGCCCTCAACCCTAAAACGCCCCAAGACCTACACCCTAAAAAGCCCTAAACCATAAACCCTGAAACCCCTAAACCCTAAACCCTACAAACCCCTTATTTACATCAAGCAAACCTTGCTGCTCGAGCGCAAGTGATAAATTTGTTACCATAGGGGTCTGTATAGGGGTGGTCTATCGACGCCTATCATAGAGGGGGGGGGGGTACTTAGTAGACCTATCTTCAATAAATGTGTCTTGGGGGGGACCCCTAAACCCAAACCCTAAAAGCACACCCTTAAACCTATCATGTTAGCTTAGGTTCGGGCAGGTTAAATTAGGTTGGGTTAGGTTAGGTTAGGGGCCTGGCCTCTTGCATTGCAGATTAGGTTAGGGTCGGTTCCGTTAGGCTAGGTTAGGTTAGGTTCGGTTAGGCTAGCTTAGCTTGGATTGGGGTTGGGCTCTTCTGTGCTCGCCCACTCCAGGCTACGGCGATGGCCCGCCAGTGAGAGAGACCGATGTAAATGCATGGCTGTCCATGCATGCTGATTCAAACCTCGCTGTTTTCTGATTCGTTCCTTGCTGTTGTCTGAACCATGGGTGCGTGATTCATGGTCTTGTTTTCCCATTTAGGTAGCATCCGTTACCCCATGCTGGCCAAGCTTCAAATTCAAGATCTTGCGGAGGAGCGCAGGGTCCTTAATCGGAAGATCGGCTGGGCGCGGCTGAACTTCTACCAAGTCGGGCTGACGGTTGGGAAGCGACTGCCACTGCCACAAAGCATCCGAACTCTCCCATTTCTGGCCGGCCTCCCTGTGGATGTTTCAATTTAATCTTCGGCGCACCTGCAGCCTCAACTCAGACTTCCACGCTGAAGTCTTGCACCGATGTGCTGATTGCATGTGGCTCCATCGCCTCATCTTCACCGTCCTCCGCCTTCTCGGCAACGGTCTCCTGGTCCGTTGCAAGGATCATCGCTCGGTTTTTGCAGCTCCGAGTGTCTTGAACAAGCCTTAACAGAACATCTTAACACTGAGCCCATGAGGCCCTCAATGTCACCGACTCATATACGCGAAAAGCCGAGGAGCGGTGAAACGCCGATCTACGACTGTCCTTCATTCCTGCATGAACTAGTGAGGTTTAGTGTCGATTACATGATCCACTTGAGTCCAGTCTATCCATGGGGCATTGGGCTGCCAGGCACAATTCTCGTGCTGGCCACCATCTTCACTACATTATCTCACAAGGATGTGTAACCGCATCCTGCCGCACTGCCTAGGCTCCTAGGCTCCCAGAGTGACCGCACCCTATCACACCGTGACTACACCGTGCTTGTGCAGCTGCATCTATCCGCAGCTTTTCTTTTCTGAGCGGTTAAGTCAAGAGAACAATTGTGGCATGTTATGGCTTTTTGTCCAGTCCATGCCTTTGGTCGCCTAAGGGTTGTTCCGGACAAAGGCACCAGGCTCGGAGGAGCCAAGGAACCACGCTCAACACTCAACAAACGAAGCTGAAAGTACTCCCACCAACCAGCGACATTGTCCACAACCCCTCTCCTTCGAGCCAACTGGTTTCTGGAAGAGAGCTGAGGGTACTTGCCGGATGCAATCCGACCACCTGCAACGAAGCCACAATGCTGAGGGGCTTTCCAGTGCAGCTGCTCTCGGGCGCTTGCCGTGAAGCTTCGTGTCCGGCTGACCTGGGCATCACGAACTTCAAAGATGGCTGAGCAGCAAGCAGAGCAACAGCCAATGTCTCAATGTGAACGCGCACATCTGAACAAGAACTCTCACTGCATGTGTTCAAGCCGAGTGCCGATTGTACACTGTGGTGTTCTCCGCATGTCTGGCTTCAAGTCGAGCAAGGTAGGACCCGATGCCTGCAGATACCTGCTCAAAGAGACGAAATACCTTTTCATCTTTCCACTATATTCCGCAGCTGTTGCTTGCATGTCGGCTTTCTAAACAAACGGAATCTGTTTTTTGGGGTCATCTTCTCCCAACTTCTCCCGCATAGAGAAGGATTCTCGTTTTGAGAGTTGGTCCGGGGGCACGGACTTGACGTGCTATTCGTCCGCAAGGGGCCCCTCCAACCTTCTTTATGATTTCCTCTTGAACCTCTTGATAATCAAATTTATCAAAAGGTTTCAAGGAGAACGACCTTCCATCTCCTCTCTATGTCAAAGAAAGAAGGACCTCCTGCTTACGCTCAGATTCTCGGAGTACGCGATCTAAGAAATCTTGGGTCTTCTACATCATCTGGGTTCCAATAAAGTTCACAATTCCTCTCGAGAAGTTGAAACGAAACCTTCTGACGGAAGCTCTCCAACATGGTGTCATTTCGGGGAGGTTGACAAATAATACCATGAAACCAAGTTCAAGTTGCGGCTTACTGGCATGTGAGGAGGGCTTTGGGTTTCTACTGGAATATGGGGTCGCGGGCATTCGCCGCTACATTGCAACAAAGCTCAGAGATCCTTGGGCTGGAGACAGGAACGTAACCCAAGTGAGGAAGAGCGCGCCTTCCTTTTGGGCTCGGGAGTGGGCTTGATGTCTCGTGAGCACTGAGAATGTTGTTCCGATGGAGGCCCTCGGTGTACAAGAGGGCATGGTGGACTCTTGTTCTGCGGAAAGAGACAAGATCCCGTTCGCGGACTTTTACCCTTGGGTCTGCCCGGCTTGTCCGATTCAAAGAGGTACGCAGTAGTGAGAAAGCGGACTTGGACCAGGCATCATGGTGGTTGCTATGCGGTCAGTCCACTTCTTTCTTGAAAACTTTCCGCTTGAGGAATGCGGGCCACATTCTAGACTGAAGCCCAAGCACAAAACATCTCGCGGTGGCGGTGGAAGAGACACGACACAAGAAACTCAACTGCAACGAAAGGAATTTGGCGAGGTGTACACAGAAACACGGAGTCCCACAGATTATTTATATCTTCTTCATACGACATATCCTGCAACGACACCTGTTGTGTCTGCGTGAGTGATTTGTATCTTCTGCCTATGACCTGTCTTGACAGCTGCTGTGCTTGCCTGCGATCTTTTCGGAGGAAGGACGGAGGCAAAAGAACACGGTCGTGAGGAGAGGGTAGCATATGGTAGCATCCCCCGAACCCTCCCCCCTTGTTGCAACCTTTGCGGTTGGCTTTCGGATCTGGGCATTCGGATCTGGGCATGAGTCGACACCTTCCTCAGAATCGGAGGACCCACTCGAACCTGCTGCAAACTGTGGAACCTCGGGCTGGCCCCAAACCTGCGAGGAACATCCACCAGGCAAGGGTTTGCAATCAAGACGGGCTTTGCATTTGCAAAGATTAGCACAGGAGGTGTGGATGAGACGCAAGTGTATGGCCAAGCCCAAATGTTATTGTTTTTCTTTTTCGTTTGGACGACACACCCTTGCACTTTGCTGATGTTTGGCCTTGAAATTTGGAACTTTGAGGCTGCCACGTCATACGACATGCCAGCTGTCGGATGTTTAACTTTGCGCGTGGCTGAAATGGAGCCAGACCGTCTGATGTTCAAACAACACGGCTATAGCGGCTATAGCTTGGCCAACCAACGAATCACCTCACCAGCCCCTTCACCCCATCACACCCGTACACAAGAACTACTGCATGATCGTACCATTGAAGCATCAGACTCGCTGTTGACCCGAAAGAGATGGCAAACAAGAACGATCGTGAGCTCCCAAGGAGAGAAGTCTCCCTCTTCAGCGCAGAGTGAAAGGAACAGAGGTTGTACCATGAGAATACAAAGGAAACAGCGGTATTTCTTGGAAACCCAAAATTCGTCAAAAACACACAAACTAAACTTTTCTAGCATTTCATGCGCAGCTTCGCCATCTTGCCTGGTCAACGAAGTTCAGATGGCCCCTTAGTAAACAGGCAAGAGAGCCACCGCAAATGTCAATTCTGCACTGCACTTAGATGTGCAGGAAGGTCGCGTAGAGCTCCTCCGCCTTTGCGACGCTGAGTCCGGGAAAGCCAGTCTGGCGAATGCGTCATCGCCATCATCGTCATCCTGACGCTCTAAAAACCGCACAGGGTCTCCGGATGTGACGCAGAGGGTTGCAAGGGCAAGGCTGCCAGCCTCGCTTGAAGCCGACGACACATGTCCTTCCTTTGGAAGGATGTCCTTAGACTTCTCCGGAATTGTGGACGTACAGACACGCCATCCTCGTGCATCTCTATTATCGTCAGAGCATGAGGAACGAAAGCACAGGCCCATGCAGCTGAGATGCACGGGTGATACCTGGGCCACAACACGCCCGCTTACGTAAAGAGCGCCTCCAATTAACTTGCTAAACTAGGCCTGGTCATGTCCTAGCAGGCTGAATACACTTTTTCGCAAGGCAACCGTTGCTCTCCAGTTCTGGAGGGCGAGCTTGCATCTATTCCGAATGTTCCTGCCCGTCTGCCACACATCGCCCACAAGTAAGGGAGCAGTGAAGCTTGTCCTCGGGATGCTCCATAGCCACGAGCGTCATTCGACGTGAGCGGCAGAGGCATCCATCACAGCCCTACTCCTAAACCCTAAACCCTAAACCGACCCAACACAAGAAAAATGCATTGGCGCAGATTGACGAATTGCCACACGTGGACTACTAGTGATAGCCTATTACTTGTAGGCTATAGGGTTCACTAGACCTACACATGCTACCGTCTAAAAACTGGCACAAGCCACATGAGCAGCGGCAAGTAGCAAGGACACAAAGAAAGGCTGGTGGCTGTTCGACATCGTAGTTCGTGCATGCGTGCATTTGTGTATGCATGTACCTCCTGCTTTGTTTAGCCATGCAAACCGAAGTACTTCACTGCTACTTGCTTACGCTCAGACACGCAACACATGTCCAAACCCTCCCCTCGCAGCAAGCCTTACGCATCCGGCCAAAGCCGATCTCTCACACCCAAGGGACCCAAATGCATGACCCGCCTTCTGCTGAGGCGCTCCACGATCTTGCGCAGCCTGCTCAGTTCTGCGATCGTGGGATCGTGTGCAAAGACAAGGACCCACAGGAAAGTGGATGATCTGTCCAACTTGCTGGGGCTGTGGCTTCTTGTACTCGGGCAACGCATTCCTTAACCGACAGCTGACAAGGGCGCCACCCTGAACAACTCATTCAAGAGGACAAGCCCAGCCAAAATGACAAGTTAAGAGAGATGCTGCTTAATATCCTCAGTAAAATCAGACTTCACAGGACTTGGTTTACATGCCTCTGTTGGGCACAACAGAGAAATGGAAGGTGGTCATGCTAAGGCTCATGTCTGGCCAGCTCGAGTTTGCATCAGGTGGCGGAGTACTGGTCCTGAGGTTTTTGCATTCGCTGATCAGCGATGGCTGGAATCAGCCAAACACATCTTCCAAGCTGCAAGCTCGAAGTCAGGGGACATGGCCTACAAGCATGTGCGGGCTGTTTGCCGTCAAAATGCAACTCTCTCTTCGGCATCGCCCTTTCCCCCCAAGCACAACGAAAGACTCTCCAGAATCGAGCAGCTTCGAAGTTACACAGGAAACACAAAGCGTGTAAGGCGTCCGCAAGTTCAAAATTGCCTTCTGCCTGTCGAGGGTGCAGACTCAATATGGTTCAAGTTGTCTCACAGCATTCGGCCTCGAACAGTCTCTTCCTTAGGATGTGAAGTTGCAGCGCATGCTCGGTTGCCATAAACTACTTACTTTCATTACATGCCAAGCGGCTGGTAGTGAAAGAATGCATCGTTCAATGCCCCAGCATGTTTCTGCGACAATTGCCTTCAAAACATCTGATCATGGCAGAGAACAACAACTGACAGCAGCAAAGCCTTGCCTATATAGCTCGTGATTGCGTGGGAGACCAGGCCCAATAACATCGCGGAAATTTTGCCTTGGAGGAAACATGGTGCTGTGTCACATTCTCTGGTGGCAATTCTGCCAACAGCACATCTACCAGGCCCGACGGCAAGTGCCCTCCTTTTTGCTGGCAAGCGGGATCGCGCTATACTCGGAGCCCACAGCATCAACTTTTGCAGCTCTACTCCGTTGATGCCCTGGCACCTAAGCTAAACATGGCCATCGCACAACTGTGCCTCATATTGATACATACTGCCGCCGAACAATCCCATCAAATGCAGCCGGAAGTCTGCGCCAAGTAAGCAAGCGACTGCAATCCCCAAGCCACCAAATGCCACCAACATCAGCAGCATGACCAAGCAAAGCCGCCGTATGAAATGAAAGACACCCGGCCCGGCCATTCGCCACACTCCTCGGGCGATGTGAACACGTGCTCCTTCCTCGCTTCCAGAGCTTTGTCCGGCACCCTGGTCAGAGGGTGTGCTGAGTTCTTCTTCTGCGCACGATGGCAAGGCCTGGGACATGTTTATCTGCAAACTCAGACATGTAAACAAACGAGGCTCTGCTCCAAGAACGACGTCCACATATGGCAAAAAAGGGAACCTGCTTGCGCAGCTCGTCGGCCAATGCCACTACTTCCCAACGCTGCAGAAGTTCCATCTGGCAAGGTCTGCTGTGAGAGCTGTTGACTACACGAGAGCTGCTGATTGCACACTTCGTCAGACCCCACTATGCCTGCAAGTGTTCAAGTTGCTGTCGAACACAGCTGGGGTTGTACTTGGAGATGAAGCCATACAGTGGGCACCTGGCAATCTTGAGCTCTCTGCAGGCTTCCAACAACAGTCCACTGACTGCTGCCTGTCCAGGCAACCTTCGCAGGCTGCGAATTCAGTCAATGACTGAGTGTATGCCTTATCAACGCAAGCATTCACAGGAAGGAAGCCAACGCACTCCGCACTGCCTGGTTAGCTGCATCATGCTAGTACTACTCGACCAACGCCTCAACGACACTGTGCAAGCCTTGTTAGGATCATGTCTCCCGGACACCTGTGGTCCCTAGTCTTGAGCTGTCCACCCAACGATTCAATTTCACTCTGAAGGGTTCGGAAATGCTCGGAACGAATGGAGCGAGGGCCAGGTCCAGGCAAGGTTCCGGAGAAAGAAAAAACGTACCGGAGGGCGGAGGGGGATAGCGTCCACCCTTCAGCACGTACCTATTTTGGATCTTTTGGTCCCACGGTTGCTGGGAAACCCATACAGTCTCGCCGCCACAAAGTTTCGAGCGAGGTCAGTGGGAATCTTGTATTGCTTTCTTAAAGCTGTAGACTGCCAGCCAGAAATGTGGTCCATATAGTTACAGGAAAGGCGGCGGACCTTTGGAATGTCTGCGAAATCGTTTTCCATGGACCCTGTGGTCGGATGCGCTGGAAATTGCTGTTGCGGACAAGGACAAGAAGGAATTGCCGCGGAAGTTGCATCCGAGAGCACGGAATTTGGACAACTTTATTGGTCGGGTGGTGCGAACTGTACCGGCTAGTAATTTAATAATGAGATCTCGCATCCGTTCACGCCTTGCATCTCGTTGATTAAATTAGCCCGTGTTCTCGCAAGCTCACCATCTTTATTCACTGGTTCGCATCAGGCGGGAACTGCTTCAACGAAGAGGACTGATGCATTCGCGAGCTCACAGCGATTATGCATGTCTTAAGGTACTAACTTGATGAGGAAAGTGCCGACTCGCTTGATCATCGGGTAAATCTACAAGGCGGTACATTATGATGAAGGTTTCTTAGTGGCTTGGAAACAAAGGTTGACACCAAAAAACTCACAGCAATTCCGCAACCAGAGGGAGGTCTCCTTGTAAGACATAAAGACATGGCACACCAAAATAATGAAACCCAGTCGCAGAAATAGCCGAATGCAGCCCAAATGCTTTGAAATTGCACAGGAAGATTGCACCGAGCAGGTCCTGTTCATACACAACAACAAGCACGATCACATGATAACGTGAAAACTTTGATTCGGCAGGCCGAACTGATGCTGAGATGTCCACGCGCAGCGGTTCGAAGCACAAGGGCACTGGCTTTGTCAACTGCAAAGCCGCAACAGCTAAATTTTCATATCGCAGCATTGCCTTAGGTCACCCAAAACACGGCATGACATCACTGAAACACATTCTGGCCAAAGCTCCACGAAACAACACCATTGTCCTGCCCATATTCATACCACGAGGTTCCGTCGCGCATCTGAGTTGCTGAATATAGATCGCAATCATGCCCTGTCTCGTGCTCATGCCCTGGCTCGTTCTGAAGCGGGTTGGCGCACAACAAACTCTGTATCGACAACCTCAGATTTTCAATGTTTCTGTTCGGCGACGTGGCTTGCCCCAACCACTGAGCACTGTGGACTTGCAATCGACCCACGCAGCACAGGAACAAAACGGAACGAAAAGTGCTCAACGAGGTCCAAGAAGGCCCCGCCCACGTGCCAAGAATCGAAAGGCAAACCTGTCCATATTCCGAGAGCATTCCGAGAGCATGTTCACTCACATAAATCTTGCGCATAACGCCGTAACCTAGATGCAGTTCCTCCAGACCCCTTAGTTTTTTTGCCTCGCACGAGCATATGTCGCGGGCGCAAGGCTACCGGCTGGGGCCGGTGCTGTGAGGTCGTCGTGTCACGCTTGGCGGACCACGTCTCCAGGCAAGCCAGCCGGAACTTGAGGCTCTGTTGCCCTTCTGCCGTCGGTTCTACAGGGCAGCTAGCCGCTATGTTTGGACAAACGATGCTGGAGCTGACCATGGGCGCTGAATGCGCTCGCCCAGCACGCTGCCCTAGCGGATGTTGCGGGCACGCTCGCGCCAGGTGAGGCCGTGCTCGCGTTCTTAGACGACACGTACGTTTTGGGCCCGCCTGAGCGAGTCACGCCTCTCTATGGTGACCTCAGCGACGCCTTGTGGCCAGCTCAACCAGGCAAGACCCGCGCTTGGAACGCTGCGGGCGAGGAGCCCCCCCAATCTGGCAGCTAGCCAGCCCCAGCAGGGCGACAACAACGTCACCGGCATCCGCCAGGCCCTCGTCGCCGCGCTGGATGCCATCCGATCGGCGCACGTGGGTCGGGTGGAAGCAGATCGCGTGCGCGCCTGGAAACATTTCCTCCTGTTGCCCTGGCTCGTTGTCCTCATGCCGGAGCGGAGGGCCGCGCTGTGCTGACGCACCGGCTGCAGCTGCTCCAGCAAGGCAACCTCTCGATCTTCTCGTCGCAAACGCTGATGGCGGCCCAGCTGAGTCCTCGCACCAACGAAGGGACGACGCAGCGCGGGCCGCAGCCTGTTCTAAACTCAAGCGGGGCCAACTGTCGCGAGCACGCCAGATGCTCACTGCGGCAGCGCTTTCTCCGGGTGACGACAGAACGCTGCGTGCGCTGACGGACCCTGTACGTCGGCCGCCGCAGCTGTTGCGACCCCCTGACCCCGGCTGTCCTCACGTTCACTGCCGCTGAGGAGGTAACCCTGACCGCGCGCAGGTTGCCGATGCCCTGCGCAGCACCAAGCGTGGGTCGGCCTCGGGTCTGTTCGGAGCCACCATCGGGACGCGAGGAATAGCTACGGGGGACTCGTTGCCCGAGCTCTCGCACGCGCCTATGCTGCAGCTTTTGACGAGGCCACCCGCCCATTCCAGCTCGCGCTGGAGACGTGCGCTGGCACAGACAGCCTGGCGGCGATGCTTCGCGCGGCTGTTGAGCTAGACCCCGAGGCCACGGTCATTTCTCTCGATGGGCGCAGAGCGTATGACACTATCAGCCGCGACGCTATCTTGCGCAAGCTCCGCGACTGCCGGCCTTGCTGCCCTTCGTCCGAACCATGTACGCTCGCATTTCCACTTACTTGTGGTGGGACGCGGAGGGCGGGCTGCATGAGATACCGCAGGCCGAGGGCATCGAGCAAGGAGACCCGTTAGCGCCGGGCCTGTATCCCTTGTCGCGGCAAGCGCGTCATTGCAACCACGTGAGTGGCTTTTCGCGTTTCTGGACGACCTCTACGTCGTCACAACGTTGGCGCGTCAGAGCATCTTCTTCAAGGAGGTCGAACGGGGTGCTGGCGTTGCTGCCAACCTTGGCAAACACGCGTTTACAACGCAGCCGCTGGGCCCGCTCGGCATCCCCATCGGCCATCTTGCGTTCGTCGCAGCTCAGGCGTCTTGTTGCCGAGGCGGGCCTTCTACAAGAGATTGCGCGGTTGCTTGACCTCCAATGCGCATGGTTTCTGCTGGCGTAGTGTGCAGCGGAGCGGGCTCAGCACCTGCTCCGCAATGTCCTGCCAGAGGACGCACGACCGTACACGCAGGCCCACGACGCAGCAGTTTGGGAGGTCGTCGAGCGTCTGCTAGGCGGCGGGGCCCGGAGAGGACAATGCCTCGCTTTCCTGCCGCCGAATCTGGGGGGTTTGGGCCTCCTATGGCCTCCTCGCGGCCGCACGCGTGCCAGGGAGTGGGCCGCCAAATTCGACCAAGCCACGAAGCCCTTCCAGTTTGCTCTTCAGGCTCGAGCTGGCACAGTCAGCAGAGACCACGGCGCCTGCAGCTTACTGGGCCTCCTGGGCCGACGCGTTGCCCGCCATACGCGCACGCCTGCCGTGGTGCGCGGACAACTACTTTTGAGTCCGAAGTCGGGGACGACGCGCACTGTCTCGCAGAGGCAGCGCATGCGCGTCGCACCTTACAGGACCAAGGCTGGAGCAACTGGCCCACGTGGAGCATGCTCCTCGATACCCCACCAGAGGCGCCAGGTAGTACCACGCATCGCGGACCCTTACCATACACTTTCGCGATGGCGTGCTTTCGCCCTCCTTGCCGCCCAGTTCGCGCGCACTTTTTCGCTCTCAGGCAGGACCGCATGCCGGTGCATGGCTCACCGCCATACGGTGCGACGAAGCCAGCCGCAATTCCCTGCGGCGTCGCCTACGGCTGTCTTTGCCCCGGATAATGCGGCCCCAACCCGGGATGTGGTGGCGTCGTCGACCCTTTTGGCGACCA